TCGGCCGCTTCCGCTGCCGGCCATCATCAGGGGACTGAATAGCGCCTGAGATGTACATGTTCATCGATGGATAAATAGGAAGAGACTACCGATAAAAACTCGTAGGGGAGGATCCATACTAGCCGGGCTAATAGTGGAGTTCCAGTAAAAAAGAAGGAAAAGAAATAAAAATAAAGATAAAAATAAAAAGAAATAAAACGAACCCGGTCGAGAAAAAGGTGCATCGTACAGTTGCCTACCTTGATGGTATGCATAACAGCAAGCCGTATACAATCCGTCCAAACCCTGCCAGAAGAGCATATGAAAAACGTGCTCCGAGACGCCGAAGTTCTGATCGTAACACACAGTAGCCAGGTGTGGGAGAGATAGGAAGATCGTTGAGAAGATAGGCGAGAATGTCCGAGGCGAGGGAGGTAGCGAATCCGTCCAAGATTATGGGCTGAAGACGGGTGGAGGTCAGGAGATGGACGAAGGGGTGCATAGAGACGATGGCAAAAGGACAAACTGAAAGAGAAACAGTATAGGAGTGGCGCGGGGATGGATCAGCAGAGGGTTGGGACTGTGGCGATACCTGGCTTCAGATAGTATCCTTGGTGCCCAGAGAAGATCCGAAAACACAATCACGAGATCGGAACGTGTCGGTACGCAGGTGGAGGGGTTCGGAGCATCGAATGTGAAAAGAAAGAAAACTTTAAGAAAGAAACACAGACTGGGGTGGTAGTAGTGGATGTGCAATCGATCCCATAACCAATATGGAGGGAAAAAAGTAAGGTTTATAAGACTCAGCTGTCGGAAGGTTTGTTGTAAGCCAGTGTACCGGACATGGAATCATGGCGCATCTTGTTCCCAAGTCCTGCTCTAAATATCTCAACCCAGAGGTCCCAACAGCTGCCTTTAGAGGTCGAAAACTCAGAGAGAGTTTTGTCAAAAATTCGTCCCGGGAAGCCCTTCAGTCGCATCTCACGTCTCAATGCAAGGAGCGCCAGACCCACTCCTCTATTGTCTGAGGAGTGGGTGTGAATCCTGTTTAAGTGTCCTTTTATTACTCCCTTTTTAAGGTTCGCAGGTCCATAAGATCTGAAGTCCTGTGTGGAAAGGATTCTGATAGGCTTACTACTCCAAATATATTCTTGGTTCTTGGTGATCGCAGAACAGTGGACTTCAGGTGGCGACACGGAGCAGCAGATGGAACAGCCCAGAAATTCCCAGTCACCTTTTCCGGAGTCCGTACAAACAAGTTGAGGTTGTCGTCGTATGACGATTCAAATATCTTGAGGATTACTGCCGCCTTCTTCCTTGCAGCTTGGTCATTCTCTGCGGATAGAATGAACAGAGTAACATCATCGACTAGTCTGATACCAGTGATCGAGCGGCTATCAGTGCCGACTGAGCTCAGAAAGTTGATCTCGTTGTAGGAGCAGAGTAGACAAGCTAGTGCCGGGCTAGAACACTTTCCCATCAGAAAGTTTTTCTTCCTGTGCTGCCTTCTTCCCCTGAGCACGAAGTACAGTGATTATAGCTGTTTTTCATCTAGATGTGTATAAGAGACAGGTCCTGTACCTGTCCACGTATCGGCGCCAGCACCG